ATAGAAAAACCTGACAAGCTTTTGGCCACACAAGTCTTTGCTTGAGGCATTTAGGAGCGGCCAGGGAGCAGATTTCTCCACGGCCTCCCTTGTGCAAGGGCAGCTCCCCCGTGGATGTGTCCGCAAGGCTCGCAATTTGTAAGCCAAAGAAATGTTGCTGATAATCCACAACTTGCCTAACAAGGACTCCCCGTGCAAAAATGGTTGTTTGTCTTCAAAGAAATGCTTTTGGAGAGCTCCTTTGTGGTAAGTCGCTCAACGTTACTGATCCTCATTAGATTAGAAAACTACATGCTTTCCCTCCAGGAAGAGTATGTAAGTTGTTGGAGTTTCTAACATCAGAAATGATTGAAACTGAGTGGTTTGAAATGGTAATTTTTCCTATAGCTGAAATTTAAAAGATGACAGTTTTCTTTCCCACGTCCATTCTCATTATGTATCAGAACTTACGGTGTGATTTACATCCATAGCAAGTAAAATGGAAAGCCTGATTCCTTTCAGGCCACTGCCTCCCATCCCTTTCGCCTGCTGCTGCTCCAGCCTTCACCGAACACCTGCACTGCCACCTTCTGCCTGTCTTACAGAGCGCAGTTGAATTTCCACCGTGATTTCCACCCCCCACCCCCCCCTCAGCCTGCCAAATTCATGATGTTATGTCCTAGGAAAATTTGGAATGCAAAGAAGAAACCGTGTGTGTGCATGCAAAGTCAAGATGGTCTGTAAATTGATTTTTGTTTCTATCTGGTCTCTATTACAGGTGGTGATTGCACCGTACCTAACTCCTAGCTTTAATTTAGAGGAAGGGAACCCTACAGTGTTGCTCCCCATGACCCAAAAAACTAAAATACTTCGCCCAGCCACTGTTAAGCCAACATATTGGCCAACGATTAGGCATAAGTGTTCTTCCAGGTTTGCTTAACAGCCTGATTGATACAGGCAATGTCTGAAATAACCGAACGGGCACTGGTGGAAGACAAAGCTTAGACCATCAGTTGGTACAAATCAGGATTTCTCACTTCGGAGAAGCTGCCCTGATTCATACCCAGTGGTTCTCTGTTTGAAGTTATTACGTGAACCGTGCTGGTTGTGTCTGCTTCTCCTGTGGCTTAGGAAAAGGAAACCCAAGTGGCTCGTGTCTATGGCTTATGGATGGATGAAAAATGTCCCTTTTTTTTTTCTTTCTTTCTTTCTTCCTTCACAATTGAAATATTGTTAAATTCAAAGTCGATTTGAGAAAAAAAAAACTCTGAAAGCTAAGTTAACCCGGATGTACTTTAAACCCTTTCACATTGCTCATTTTAAAGAATTCTTGGTATTTAATTTTTTTCCTAGCAAAGGAAGGGGTGCCGAAGTCACCCTCTCTTTAGGAAAATAAATGTTCTTTGGGAAGATGCTAATTCCTGCAGCAGCCAGCCCCACACCGAGGGGCACTTCCAAGCAGGAGCAGAGTCCCTGGCCTCAGCCCTGCGAACCTTTGAAAGAGAGATGGGCTCACCACTGTCTCCTGGAAAGTGCCAGAGCAATTATTAAATATGTGAAACCCAACCTTTAACAGAAAGCCAGTTCTTGCAGCCTTGGGAGACTCGATGCATGCATCAAAAGGTTGGAAAAATTTCCCCTGCAATGTAAACACGATTCCTCGCCGCACGCTGCAGCATGGCTGAGGGAACAGTGGCATCTGGTGTTCGCTGAGCTCTCTTACAGCCACCGCTTCCCAAGTGGGCGCTGGCTTCGCTGGGCGCGGGCAGGATTTGGCTCCCCACACGCAGGTATCTAGTGGCACCTGAGACCTATAGGACATCAAAGGCATCTGTACAAGCGTCCAGGCGTGATACAGGTGATACGGGAGACTCAAGCCCATCTGAATGGCAGCTAGAAGTCTGGGTGGTGTGTCACACGAGAGAATCCCAAACTTGCTTCTGGTGAACAGGGTAATCACTCTCGTTGGGGGATGAATTTCCTCCCACCCAGGAGAACAGCGGTGGTGACGCAGTATCGTCAGGGAGTCTCTGATTTGGATGCTGTTTGACTTTTATGTATTTTATGAAATCTTTATTCTATCTTTCTTGATAGAGAGGAACTTGTTGCCTAATGAGGTGCCCTGGTCCATTTGGTGTGGCAGGCTGTCCACCCAGGGGCCTGCGACACTCGGTCTGTGCTGCAACAGTCCCGGGGCGTGATGCTCAACTGTGTGTGTGTCTGGTTTGGTTTTACCATCTGAACGTTTCCTCGGTCTAATCTCACGTTCTCAATTTGAGACCCAAAATGCAAGTGCTGCCCAAGAGCCTTTCCCCTGTCAGGGAGTTTTAACTTGCCCAAAACCTGGAAGGAGTTTCACTGGGAGATGGTTGGTTGCGCTTCTTTCCTCATCTTTGTTCTTCCCATCAAACAGGATAGTCCCACTATATCTGCTGCCACTTTTCCACTGCTAGAGCCTAAAGATGTCTTTTAAACACCTCTGGCAGCCAGTATCGATAGGCAACTGGGCAGTATCTGAACCTTAAGGTGAGCATGTGCCGTATCGGGGTTCCAGGTGGAGGGTCCTCTACTGCTGGTCCCCGAGACACAGTCAAAGGCTTGCTTGGAGACAAACTAAGCTGCGTTTCCTTCTCCTGGCAGGAGAGGAAGCCCAAATCTGAACAAAACAAGGTTAAAGATGTGCATCTCCCTGGTGATTTCTATGCAAATGAGAAAGGGCAAATTACTCTCATCGTTTGGCTAACTGAAATTCAGTTTATCGGTCTTCTACCTCAAGTGCATGAAAGACAGGGCATTTCCTACTGAGATGAACAGAATGACAAACTTGAGCTTGGACCTCTATGGAAACAATTTCTGCTGGTTCCTGTCATTTTTCAAGTCGCAGATTTTTAGCAGTTCTGCATCCTCATACTAATCCAAAGATTGTTTTGCAATATCTGCAGGTTACCCCATGACGGGTTTTACCTGAGTGTTGGGACCGAGCGACCTTTTTCTGTTCGTGTTGTGATGGGTACGTAACCTGATGCACAAGTCCCCAAGCCCGGTTACTCCTCCCTGCTATGCAGAAGTGTGCGGCTCCCGTTAATTCCTGCTCCTCTCCGTGGCTCCGTGCAGAAACCCAGCGCTTCCCCTGCACAGGGCCTTACTTCCCTAGCTAAACTCATTCGGAGATCCTAATTATTGTCTCTCTTAGGCGGTTTCTGTCCTATTAAGTTACAACAAATTGCATTTTGATGACATCAAACCCAGTTTGACAGCTACGAGTGACAGCAAGGGGCATTTCTGCAAAGGCACTGCTTAACGGCGACCTCCTCGCCCAAACAAGCAGCACCACAGCTAACAAGCTATCTCTTCTTCTCCCCCACGAGATTTAGAAACTCATGAGGTGGTTTTACGTAACGTGTAATACTCTATAGCGATAACAGCCCACCGGCTAGCTTTTGGGCGGTGTCGTGTACTTCGGCACGGCGTGCCTTGGACCGCCGCATCTCTCTGTTCTGCAAGTGTTTGTTCAAATCAAACCCTGGAGTTGCCATGCACTGAAGTTTATTTTCTGTAAAACCACGGGAGGTTTTCCAAAGCGCAGCTGAACTTCTGCTAAAAAAAAAAAAAATCAATGGCAACCAGGCACCTAACTCCAAATCCCACTGAAATTAAATTCAATCCCCATCATCTCCTGCAAAGACTTTGGTCTTTGGCTGGCAAACCACCTGATTCTTGCAAGTCAACGGGCAATTGTAAGCGTGCGGAGAACAGGTCGCAGAGGCTTACGCTCTACAAATACCCCAGCCCTCTTGCTATCAGCAGTCAAGATAAACGTTGTTGCCTGAACAGGGTTACAGAGAGAGTGAGAAACATTGGTTTGGTAATGCGTTTTGTTTATTAAACTCAGTTTTCACTGATGTCCTGAGTTGACAAAAATATTTCCCAGGAAAACTGACAAACGGAAACAATTCATAAATATATATTTATCTGTTTCAAACACTGTAGGTATAAACAAACAAAAGCTCTGGTTTGCTATTTTGGGAGGTCCTGTGTAACCAGCATTTTCAACTGGCCAATTAGCAGCACGTGTGTTAACCAGGGAAGAACTTCCACTTGTTTTTAACTGATCAAATCCAGTGTTTTAAAATTATTGCTCATTATCAGACAAACAAGATATAAAGGGTGTTCATTAAAAATCTTCATTAACAGCAGGGACAGTCTATATTGACAGTACATGCAGCTTTATAGTGGGAGGTCTTTATGCAATTAAGACCAAAACTTTCAGAAATTAAGATGTTGGGGAACCAATCGGAGGATATTACAGGAGCCAAATCTTCAGCAGGTCTGAGCTTGGCACCTTCCTAAAATCTACCTTAAGATGTCGGGCAGAGCACCCCCCCCAACATAAATGCCTCGGAACCACTAATGGCCAGGGAGAGAGCACCCAACTGCGACACTGCTCCAAGGCTTTGCTCTCCCAGCTACGCGCTGCTCCTGCCTCTTTGCCGAATCCCCCAGGGCTGCCGCGGGCTGGGGACGAAGAAGAGGACCAGCGCACAAAGAAACATCACGGAGTTGTAGGCGACTGAGATGTTTTTCCTTCCTCACTGGTTCTCCTGGGTCGAGGGAGGGGACAGTGGCAGGTACCAGTAGAAGGTGGAAACGTAGATCTCCTCGCAGCACTTGGTAACTAGAGGCATCTCAACTTTTGCAGCTACTGGTAGCAACGCCTTGCGCGGCGGGTTCCCCCCCGTGCCTATTGCACGCACTACTCAGCTAGCGGTCTCTCACCGGGGCTACGCTACGGCAGTTCTCGCTCCCTTCTGCTTGGGAGCACCTCGGGGCCAGCGTCCGCCTTCCTGTGCCCTCCCGGTGGGGCACGGCTCGCTGACCTCCTCGCTCTGCTCCGGCCGGCGCGCTCACTTCTCTGCAGGAAAACAAGGAGCGGCACTACTCGCGCTAACCCCTCGGCAGAGGAGCCTTGTCCCGGTGGGAAAGAAACCCGCTGTCTGTCTCACGCCAGCGAGGCACATTCCTCAGGGCATCGCGACAGAGATGCACTGCGGGGTCTTCTGGCTATCGTCCACCCTTTCCCCGGCGGGTCTCTTTGGATACACCACGCTGGCCATCTTGAAGAACTCATCTGCAGCGTCCAGAGCTATGAGACGATCCTGCCAAAGGAACGGGGTGTTACAGTCACTACGGGCTGCTTTGGGCAGCTCCCTGGTCAGGGTCCTCCCTCCGCAGCTGCCAGGCATTAGGTCTAATCTTTTCCCACTTCGTTAACAGGCTGTAAGATCACCCAGTTACACAGGCTTAAAGGAACTTGGGAGGAGGGGGGGAATTTATAGCGCTACTCACACTTCTAAGGAAGCTGAACAGCCAAGTTACAAGTGCAACATCTGACGGGGACGCTCCAGATGCCACCATGAATTTGAGCACCCTCTGGTGCAGGTCACCTACCCGCTCCCCTTCGTCTGAGCTCACTTGCAGAGACGAGGGCAGTGGGGAGGAAGGCACGCTCGGAGCTACTCACCACCACGAAGAGGTAGCGCTCAGAAAGCTCCCAGCTGGTTGGGAAGATGTTTGTCTCCTCAGAGAGCTTTAACAGGATATCCCGGGCTTTGCCCATGTTCTGGGAGTCGCTGATGATGCTGAGTTTGGTCACTGACAAGAGGGAGTCCGCTTCCTTCTGGAAACCTGGGCAAGAGATGTGTTACAGAAAGGAGTCAAGCGTGCGGGCAGGGGCATCCCTGAGCCCTCTGGGCTCTTGCGTGGTTCCTTCTTCCCCCTCCACCTTGGGCTGCTGCGTTCCCTACTTGCTAAAACAAACTAGCATTTCCCCGAGGCACGTCCCCTGCACTTGGGGCCGGTAAAAGCTTGCTGGTGGGGGGGGCAGGGAAAAATCATACAAATATTCAGAGCAAGTTTGTCGCTAGTTTTCCAGAGAAGGTATATGAACACCCCCGCCCAGGGTGTGCATTCAGCTCTTGCACGTTCCTGATGCCGCCAGAGCTTTCAGGGCTGGTGGGGCTTCCTGAGCACCCCAGTGACTACACCTGTATGTCATTGGGAGGTACCAGTGCTAAAAAACCTTGTGGCAGTAATGGATGCACGTGTAACTGTTCCTGTAGCAGGCAGCAGCTCTTATAGGAAGGGCACCCAGGGAAGGAAAGGGGGAGGAGAATGAACGCAGGGATCTTTAAGTGTAATGGCTACCATTAACTTTTTGTTGAGCTCCAGGGAGCTGGTGGTGATGCATCTCACCTGAAAACGCTTACAGGGCAAAGAGTGGTGGTCTTGTGATTAAAGCACAGGTCCAGACAATGAAAGATGCCAGGTTTCACAACTGGTTGCACACCAGCTTCGCTAAGGCCAAATGATCCCTGGCCTTGAGCTTGCCCACCCCTTGCAAAACAGCTCCGGAGCCATTGCGGACGTGAGAGAGATGTGGCAGAGCCTTTGTCAATGTGCAGTAACAGATGAAAGGATGTCAAGTGATCCCTCCTGTGTTTGGTCTGTACAGGCTGGGCGAGCACCTGGGTGGAGATGAACGCTGATACCTAGTTATGAATTTATAATGTTCCTCCCATCCAGAGGCCAGAAGGGCAGGTAGGGCAGGAGCGGCTGAGATACCCATCTCTTTTGCTCCCAGTGGCAATATTCTTGAACAGCCCTACAAGTGCGCTCGACTCGCACATCCTCCTCCCATTAGCTGCCGACCACCTCCAGAACTTGGCGCAAGTCACCGAGCTGATGTGCCGTGCCGGCACGTCTCCTTGGCCCGAGTGTCGCGCGCTGTGTGCAAGGCAATTGGGAAACCCAGGTGACGCCCGCCGCTGCTTTCTCCGGAGGAGCAGCAGCTGAGCACGCAGGACCGGTGGGTCCAGTTTGCTGTTCGCAGGCTGGGAATGAGCAGGAGTAGGAGGGCCACTGTGGAGCAATTTCGCTTGGTGAAAGAATATTTCAAATTCATTTAGGAGCAAACATAGTGGGTGGTTCAGCTCGGATCAGCTGGCATAGGCTAAGGAAGGAAAACAGATGTATCTGTGTTTCAAATCTGAAAGGAATATTCATTTCTCCCTGCTTATCTTGTTTAGAAAAACCCAGGGTGAACTCCCAGGTATCCCTGCTAAGTTTCCACAAGGAAGCATGATATGGATCACTGTACGTGCTGTTGTGGGCTTGAAAGGCTCTCCCGCTGGTTGTGGTTCGTGGTGGGCTTTTCGACGTGCCTGCAGACACGGTGGCCCTGTCTCCTGCCAGCCGTGCCTGAGCTCTGAGGAACCTCCCGCAGGCTCTCAGCTGCTGTGTGGGCTACCTGATGGCATTGCTCAGCAACCTTCTTTTGTTGTCCTCCCTTTCTCCTCTACCAGCCTGATTTTGTGGAGCCATTCCCACCCTCAACCATCGTGGGACCTCTTATTCGGTACAACAGAAATTACATTCTTTGTTTCCTTTAGCTTACCTAAATCCTCCAAAATGTGTTTCCACCTGCTTCTCACTTCTTTTCGGGTCTGCCGTAAGGTATAAATATCATAGTTGAGCTTTTGCCATTCCTGCAAAGCAAAGGGATAAGAGACACTCAGCCATCTGCATGCGGGGAGGTCTCTGGTGCTTTTCTAGGAATTTCAGCTTTTAGAAGCGGGGCCAGAGTTGAACTGTTGATGTTGGCACTGAGGGATCGGTATGAAGGTCGATGGCCAGGTTGCCGTTGTCCCTGGAAGAAATTACACGGACCAGCACAGAATATTTTAGCCTGGCATTTGGTGCAGCATCTCGGTATCTTCTCTGCATGTACAAAACAGGCTTCCAGTTACCTTGCAACGGGATTACAGAATTTAGCTGAGGTGTTGCTGAAGACCAAAGTGGTCTCCTCGGTCAGACTGGGAAAATATAATTCCAGCTCTGTGCTGGAAATCGTAACGCTGTCCTAGGCTGGAGAACCACATGAACTTCCAAATGTAGCTCATCTGAGAGACTTTGGTCTCTTTGGTCCAAAGCCCTTTACTCCAAACAGCCCAGCTAGCAGCAAAACCTGAGGTTGTGAAAATACTTTATTCGGCCTTTACAGCTTGAGAAACCACAACCACACATTAATAATTACCTTCTATAAACTATTGCAACACCTTATTTTCATATTCTTGCAGTTAAACTGGCATGGCACATTTTCTTACAGCTGATGATAGCCCGCGGGACTAAAATTAAACTAAAACAAAACTAAAAGTTTGAGAAAAAAGTTACTGCTCTCAGTATGGTCACACATACAGTGGCTTCTCCAAACTGCTCAGCCCTCCGTTTGGCATTTAACCAAAACAGGCAGGTTTTCAAAAGTACTGGAAAACAAGGAAAATAGACTTTTTTCTGTTTGTTTTTTTTTTTAAAGGCTGGGGTACCTTTTTTTTTAAATAGCAGAGAAGAGGGATGCACGTAGATAGCCGAGGGCTGAGCCGGAGTCATTTGACATAGTAACTGTTAGTGACTGGCAGTTGCTGCAGTTAATGCCTCATTTAACTATACAGCTTAAATCCTTGCACTCGACCTCGAGCTTTTTATCTGCATAATGGGACACTGTCTAAAGGGAAAGGTTTTGAGGTTATTCATTAAAGTTATATTAGCACAATTAAACACATCTGTACAAGTATGCATACCTGTGGAAACACACGTACTCTGTAAGAAAACCAGGAGTACTTTTCCTAGCTGGGTTTAATCAATGCACACGCTACAAAGGATGCCTTTACAGAACAGGAGGTCATAACATCGCTCAGATAATTTCCCTGCACTAACAACCTTAATTAATCTCATTTCTCAGCAACAGATTACATAGATGGTCTCTTGTAGAATAAGCCGGTGTTAATCTGTGCCGTCTCCCTGGGATTTTCCTACGTGAAAAGAGGTTAAATAACACCCATTATTTAAGGGCTGTGCTTTAGAAATCCCACTGGTTTTCTGATACCTGGTGCCTTAAAGAGTTTACTTGATTTGATATAAAAGGTTGGAGATTTCTTAGTGGGTTTTTTTCCCTGAACCCGGCTGACACGCCACGACTGCAGAGAATTAAACGACGAGCCTGTTTTCTTGTTGTTCAGCGATAGCTGCAGAAACCCCTTGGAGATTGCGCTTTGGAGGAACCGGCCGACGGGGTTAAGACACTGCTGAATTCAGGTCAGGAGAGCAGGGGAAACACGGCTCTACCTGCAGCTATTTGCTCTGCACCGCTCATCCTCCTGGAAAGCAAAATCCCCTTCATTTTTAGCTTTGTGCTGCTGCGAGCAGCGAGCAGCTTTGCCGATCAGAGCTCCGTTTCTCTCTTGACTGCAGCAGTGCTTGAAAACAGCTTTTTTGTTTTGCACCTGGCTGCCAGTGCAAGGCATCAAAATGTCTTTCCAGCCCTTTGCTAAAGAAAGGAGGCAGGGACAAGATTCCTCTGCCTTGTGACACCAGCTCGTAGCTAGGAACTGAGTTTCTCTTAGTGGGGGGGAAAAAAAAAGAGGGGTTTTATTGTATTGTGGGAGGTTTATTGCAATCTTGAAAGTTTTAAAGAAAGAGAAAAAAGGCTGCATGATGCCTCGGTCCCTGCTGGCGGGGATCCCTTGGGAACAGCTCAGCCTGCTCCTGACCCCATGGTATAAGCAGAAAGGCGAGCAAACCAGTCGGGGCGTGCTGGTGGGGAAATAAGCTGCGTGTGTCTGCCCTGCCGTGGAGATAAACAAATGCTTTAATGCACACAATGGATCAACGGAGCCGCTGTGATTCCAGGCGTGCTGAATTAGAAAGCCAGGAGGGTGGGAAAGATGCTCCTCTGCCCAAAACGTGGCTTGCTGGCACCTGGCAGCAGCTTTCAGGGCTGCGGGGATTTACCCCCCGGGGTAGCGAGCCAGACTCCTCACTAAGCGAAACGGAGAGCAGCGCTTAGCACGCAGGGAAGCTGCTCCCAATTTTCTCTGGATTAACGGCAGCCTGGTTTTCCCTTGTCTATTTTTGTTTTAAGGGAATCTAGGTTATGGCTTGCTTGTAGGTCGTAGTTACTGAGCTGCATTATGGAAGCGAATCCAGTGCGTATTCAGTCCCAGGGGATGTCGAACAGTGTCCTGTTGATGAGGAATTTGGGGGGTGTGCAAAAGAGCAGCTTTGGCACAGAAAACGATGCTTAACAGTGGTCCCTGGGAGGGATCTCCTGTTTTAGCGGTGTTTCTTTGTCCTGAGCGTGGAGCTGGATGTATCTCTGTTTCTCCAGAGAAAGCTGGGAGGAGGATACTGCACGTGGTGTCAGTTGTTGAAAAGAAAGTGGAGATTGTCAGGGTAAGGAAGGGTGGCTCCGGTCTGAGCTCTCGAAGGGACACATGCCCTGTTCTCCATCAGCCTCGGAAACCACCACGTTTTCCCAGGTGATTCCTTGTAGCAGAGACGTCCTAAGTGCTGTGGGCAGGGGGTTGTCCTCTGTGTTGCTTTAATGAGGAAATAAAGTCAAGAGCATCTTTCCATCCCCAAAATTATTCTAAAAAGCATCTCCCGTTAATTACACAGCAGAGGAAGAGCAAAGCTCGTCCTGCCCGTGTCTCCGCATAGGAACAGGCAACATCAGAGACTCGGGAGGGTGTTCTCCATCACATCCTGTGAGTCACCGAGATGTGACGTGCAGAGGGAGCGTTTGGTCGGGGCCGGGCAGCATCACAAG